TACATTGTAAACACACTTAATAAGTGTATTAAATATGAGTTACTAAAAACAAGAAATATAAACAAAAAAAAAATCTTTATTATGTTAACTAGTTAGCTGTTTAAGGATGCATCCTACAGACCAAACACCCCAGAAGATATCAGTATATAGTAGAGGAACTCCCAAACATCATGAAAAGAAAAAATGAAGTATTTTATGAATACGCAATTGCCAATTTAATTATCCATGTATGGTAGACTGAGGTGTATTTGACCAGTCAGCTAGAAATAACTGTCAGTTAAGTTAAACTTGGCTAAAGCAACTGTATTATTACTGAACAAAAAGTGGGGGAATGTAGTAGGCAGAGAGCCTGAAACATAAGCCCTTGTGTCAGCCTGGTAAGAGGCCTAAGCTAAAGTAATAATCAAAGTTTTGTTGATGTAAATCAAAATCAGGCTGTGAGCTAGAGACAGGACCTGCTCACAGAATCAGGTGAGAACTGTTTTTTTTGTTTGTTTTTTTTTGGCAATATCAGCCCTGTTCTTAGCAGCAGAAAGCTAAGTGGAAAAGGTTCTCAATTTGGTCTCTTCAGAAGGGTACTCCTTTTTTGCAATCATCAGTTCCCCTCATCCTGGCCTAGTTTCTTTACCTAAAGCAGCAGAGTCTGGAGGTCTCAATAAAGATGCACCTGGCCACTATTTCAGCTTTGCATCACAGCTCAGGTAGTCAGTATTTGCTAAACTTGTGATTGGCTGCTTTCTTAAGGGGCAAGATAAATTGTTACCTCAAGACAGACAGCTTGGTGCTCTTGAGGCTGATGGGCCCTCCCTTGGAGCCCCTTTTCTCTATAAACATTTTTAGAGAGAAACCTTATAAGGTCTATCCTCTATCAATTAGGGATGCAAGCAACTAGTCATTCCCTTCCTCTTCCCCTCCCCCCACTGTCTATCAGAAAGAGGCAGCAAGGCAGGGAGCACAAGCCAATGCTTAAAAGCAAGTCCCCCCACCCCAGCACCATCTCCGCAGGGACAGTGAAGGCAGGGACCAATGGGGAAACTGGGTGAGTGGGAATTCAAACAGTCCTGCTTGCGCCGGTCCCACTGCCGCTCCTCTCCCTTTGGAATGTACAAGAGCTGCCTGCAACTCTTGTACATATCAAAGGAAGAGGCACAGAGGGGAACCCATGCCAGTGGGGACTGCCTTGCTCCCCTCTGGTGCAGGTTCCGACTGCCTCTCTCCCTTTGAAATACACAAGAACCGAAGGCAGTTTCAAAGAGGCTCAGTGGGGTAGTGAGCGCCTGCTCTCCCCCCCCGTGTCGAATACTCAATGCGCTGATTAATCAAAGTTTAACATCCCTGCTATCAAGGAGACATGCACAGTGGTTGCTCCCCTCCCCCCACAGGTAACAATTATTTACAATGGGCTTGATACTCAAATAATGAACATCAAGTAGAGTTCATCTTTACCTTGGCCTGGATCTACATATTTTTCAAAGTTCTTCATTGTCAGGTATCCTCTTCAGGTGGGCCAGGTAGTTTCAAAGGCCAACTGAAGGCAAAGAACTAATGGCTTCCCATTGCTTAAACAGACTTTCCTACAAGGTGAGAACCCTTTGTTTGGCACCTCCTTCCCTCATGGAAAAATACCAGGTTTATAATGGATCCCAGTACTGGGGGCATAGTCTCTTTCTAGGACCAACCACAGTTCGGGCTTACAGGACAAGCCCGAACATCCACAGGTTGTTGGTTTGAGTACTGAGTCATTATGTTTCCAAAGCACCAGTAATGGCCCTCATCAGCACATTTAGAATTATAAACAGACCCACACTTCCTACTTCTAATGTCACATACAAGAATAATACATGCACAAAATTGGGATATACAGATTCAGCAGATTGTAACCATAAATTGATGTTACATGACCTGTTTTGCATAAAGCATCTTTGAGTTATGCATAAGCCAACTAGACACCCAGGTTGGCACCTCTCAGTATCAGTGTTGCTGAGAGTGATGCCCTGCTCTTAATGAAGAGGAGGATTAATCCTTCTTTTGATTTCTGGAGCATGCAGAAATCCATTTTATGGGTTCTCTTTTGAGGGCATGCAAAATGTACAATCCCTTTCCTGGCTCTATGGCTGGTCAGAGCAGTGAGACTGTCCCCACAGAATTCTTCTGGGGAGGATGTCTAGGGACAGTTAGGGTACATCTAGACTACAGGGTTTCGTCGACAGAAGTTTTGTCGACAGTATCTGTCGACAAAACTTCTGTCGACATAGAGCGTCTAGACACATTCAGTTCTGTCGACAAAGCAAGCTGCTTTGTCGACAAAACCCTGTAGTCTAGACGCAACCCTACAGGCAATAACACCTTCTGTCGACAGAAGGTGTTATGCCTCGTAAAGCGAGGTTTACCAGTGTTGACAAAACTGCTGAGTTCTGTCGTCATTATGTCGACAGAACTCAGTGGTAGTGTAGACGCAGGTATAGTTTTGTCGACAGAAGTCCACTTTAGTCGACAAAACTCAGTAGTCTAGACACACCCATAATTAAGTCATTGGAAGAGGATCCCAGTGCTAAGGCAGTCTCTTAGCCTATGTTAGCAGGTGTTGCTTTAAATTAAAAGGTGGTTAACTGTAATCTGTTGTCCTTGTTAATAGGAAGGATAAATAATTCACTGTGACTTTGTGTTCCTTGCTAAGACACACCAAGCAGTGCATGTGTGGGTTACTGTTAGGAATAGTGACCTCACATGACAGGCAATGTTTCAAACCAAATACAGGCATAAACAACTAACTCTGATCTAAAGTATTGATGCCAACTGTTGGTAACTAATTACACTAATGAAGACTGCATCACCAGTTAGGATACAGCAGGAAAATATGGAGAAGAATCCAATACAGGGAGTTCCCACTCAAAATGCAGGTGCTAAGAAGAAACTGAGTGGACCTATGGCACTGCTGCTCTTTTATAGCCTTATGATCATGAGCAGCATAAAAAAACTGAACTAAAAAAAATCTCTAGCCTACAACAGACATATGATGCCAATATGCCAGTGTGGAATACACTTCTGCATGCACTCAAAGAAGAGCCAGTACAGGCAGTCCCCGAGTTACGCGGATCCAACTTACGTTGGATCCGCAGTTACGAACGGGGCTTTTCTCGCCACGGAGGACTGGAGCGGCGGGACTCCCAGATGTAAAGCTGTTCCGCGTCTCCCTGATCTGCTGGTGGGAGGTGGGAACCCAGCAGACCAGGGAGACGCGGAGCAAAGCCGCGAAGGACGCCGGCAGCGTGACAGCCCAGACGCGCCTTGGTCCCGCTGCCCGCGTCCTTGCTCCGTGTCTCCCTGGTCCGCTGGGACCCCCCCCAGCAGACCATGGAGATGCGGAGCAAAGCCCCGGAGGATGCGGAGAAAAGCCCCGGAGGATGCGGGCGGGACCGCGGCACGTGTCGGCGCTGACACCTGGGGTAGAGTAGCTGGGGCGCTGCCGGGGTGGGCCCGCAGGGTGGGTCCCCCGG